GTTCTTCACAACTAAAAACCACAATTAATCAAACAATCATTTAGAAAATATTTCATCCATCAACAACTGAATTTCTTTTATTCTCAGTGTTCCATGGTACATACTCTAAAATAGATCACATTTTAGGGCACAAAGCAAATCATAATAATTAACAAAAATAGACATAATTTCTGAAACTCTTAGAAGATTAAAGGAGTTCCCATTTTCTTGGGTTGGCAGAATTAATATTATAAAACTGACCATACAACCACAACTGTTTTACAGATTCAGTGCAATATCCACCAAAATATCAATGACATTCTTCCACAAAGAGAGTGACAGAAAAAATTCTCTTCAAGAAATGAGATAACCTTTCAGAGCTGTGCTTAATGTGGTTGATTCTGAAACATCTGAGGATGGCCACTTCTCAGTCATTCTCTCCAAAAGTGTCTCTAAGTACATGGGGGTTTTATGTGGAAGCACAGACCCCAGAATTGTGAGAACACATTTTGTTTGTGTCCTAAAAATTCCGCAGAGTATATTCATGGGCCGAAACTTTCTATTCAGTGTCTAAATTCTCAATAATTCCTGAGAACAATTTTATAATTCTGTAATATAAAAGTAGTCTCTTCCTGGATTTTCACAAATATATGATGTGGACTGTGGCATTCTTTTTATTGTCATCTATGTGGGCAGAACAGAAAATGAGACCCCCAATATATTGAGGTTTTAATGATTCTCTGTCCATCTCTATAGGCTGTTGATAGTAATCACCCCTGAATATTTGGTTGTCAAATGAAATAGTAGAAACACCATGAAACTGTATTATTGTGGTTATTCTCAGTGATTTCCATTTGAGTTCCCATCTAGGCCTCTGACTGAGCAGACACCTGCAGCAGGTCAATACATCCAATGAATGACCTTTCCCCTGCTCACTTTTTTGGTGATTTTACTTTTGGAAGAAGTCAACATACAGCAATCATAAGTGCACAGCTCAGTGGAATTTCACAAATGAAACACTTCTCTGTGCAACAAATCAAGAAACACAGTATTGTCCGATTCTCAGAAGACCCTTTGTACCTCTTTCAACCAAAAGCCCCCAAGGAGAGTTCTCCTGGGTTGTTTGTAGGAGTGGAATTGTGGGAAGGAAGCTTTTAATCTGTTCTAACATTTCCAAGTTGAAGTAACTTTTACCTGTATCATACTTTAATCAAATGAATTCACACAGCTGAAGTATTTTATGTTTCACTTTCTTTTCAGTCCTTGTGATTTTTGTGACTGTGGTGTCTGCATTCAATGACATTGTGGTATGGGATTCCACTGTGTGAATATCAGTTAGTTGACTGAGTCATTCTGCTGTTAATTGATACACCTGAGTGGGCTTCAAGTTGAAGCTATTATGACAATTCCTGGGAAATAAATTCTGGAATTTGTATTCTATGCTATAAATAGAAATTGGACTGGGGAATACACATTCCAGTGGCATGGTGCCATGTTGGTTATATCAGTCTACCTTAGAAACCACCAAACACTTTTGTAAAATATCTATACCAACTTCAGCATACATTGCCATTGCATGAGATTCCTAGTTAACTTTCACAATGTCAAAACTTGGTATTCTTGATATTTTTATTCTAGTTTCTGTTCCTGTGTGGTGATAACAGGGAGTGGTCTTAAGAGAAGCACCAAACATAGTCCACTTATGTTTATCATTGAATAGTGTCTTTTCTCCTGTAGGTTTTGCTGGAATATGTTGCCTATTTTATTGTGTTGTTCTGTAAAGTCACTGCCACTGGACTCTTCTCACGGGATCTAGAGTATGGCAGTGATGAGAATAAGCTTGTAATTAATGTGACCTAATTTGTTATTTTAAATATATATATGCTTAAAGGGTTTATGCTCTTCAATAAATATCATTATGCCCAAGACCACAGAAATATTATGTATCATGAAGTACCATTTTCTTTAAAATTTATATCAAAAACAATTTGAGAACTTATTCATCCTATGATGTGGATGGGGATTGAATTTGCCTGTTCTTCAATGTGACTAGCAAATATTGGTTTATTCTGGAAATTTTGAATCATGCTTTCTGTCCACTGTTCTCACTTCTCATTGTTTCTCCCATGTTATCACCTCATTATGTCTCGTGCTGAGTTCTCCATGAAAAATCTGGGAAATCCCCCCATCCATATGTGCATCTTGATATCTTTGCAATCCCACAGGTGCTCACAGGGAAAGTTACTCTTGCTATAAAATATACATAATATTCTGTGATGGGTGTCACTGTGTTTTCTAGGCAAGTCTCAAACTCTGACTGGAACAATAGTCCTGCGTTAGCCACCAGAGGAGCAGGAGGCTACAGGTACACACCACAGTTCTGGCTACAAAAAGTTTTATGAGCTCTTTTGCTCAGAGGAATGATTGTTACCATAATGTAAAAAACAATGTGCTGAATGACGGAATAGCCTCTGGCAATATGGCCATGGGACTGATGTTCTTATCACGGATCATTGTTGGAATTCTGGGAAATTTGTATCAGCTTCATTACTATCTAGTCTTTTCCTGCAATGAGTGCACATTAAGGTCCACTGATCTGATCCTTAAGCACTTGAGTGTAGCCAACTGCCTCATCATTCTCTCTAATGGAGTTGCCAGTACAATCACAGCTTTAGGGTTAAAATACTTCTTCAGTGATTTTGGATGCAAACTTATTTTGTACCTTCAGCGAGTGGGCAGGAGTGTGTCCATTTTCATCACCTGCCTCTTGAGCGTCTTCCAGAACATCACCATCAGCCCCATGAACTCCTGTTGGAAGGATCTCAAAGTAAGAGCTCTCAAGTACATTGGCTTCTCCATTTCCCTCATCCTGTACTTGGTGATGAATTCCATTTTTCCTCTCTATGTACTTGGCAAATGGAGTAGTGAAAACCTAACAGAGAAAAGAGATTTTGGGTACTGTAGTTCTGGAGGTCGTGATAAAACCACAGACTCATTATATGCAGCCTTATTTGTATTTCCTGAAGTTGTCTTTTCCGTGCTCATGATCTGGTCCAGTGGCTCCATGGTTCTCCTTTTGTACAGGCACAAACAGAGGTTTCAGCACATTCACAGCATCAAAGTTTCTCTCAGATTGTGCCCTGAGTCGAAAGCCACCCAGAGAATCCTTGTCCTGGTGGGCACCTTTGTGACTTTCCACACCCTCTCCTCCATATTAAATGTTTGTATAACCCTTTATTTTAATCCCAATTGGTGGCTGGTGAACACCAATGCCCTGATCTCCATGTGTTTTCCCACCGTCAGCCCCTTTCTTCTCATGATCCATAACTTCATTCTATCCAGGCTCTGCTCCTAAGGAATATAAAATTACCCAAACTGAACATAAACATATAAATTATGAATTTTTGCACAATGTGCAAATGTTTATTCATTATTTCCTCTCAAAACACTAATAGAGAAACTATGGAAGAGTGGCTTGTCTTTACGTTGTCAATCCTCAAAGGAACTGGGTTCCTCAGCCAGCTGAATAGGAGACCTGCATGCGATGGAGAGGAATGAAGCTGGTTATCCTCGTCCTGTGCAGAGCATCTTCCATGTTGCTGGAGGCCAACCAAATGCATCATTTTCTAGTCCTTCAAAGTCATTTGACTACAATAATTCCAGAAAACTCTTGCCAGAACCTAGTGCAGTGGAGAAATGAGTGGTAGATATTGTGGGCCAACAATTCTCATGTTTTACCTCCTGTGATTTTATCTTATGGAGAGATTTTGTTTAGGTGTTAAACCAGACTCAGAAACTTGCTATAATACATATGGAGTTAATAGATATTTTCCAAAAATGTATTGTTTGTATGTTTACAGAATGGAGGTGAATAAGAGGGAGGCCCAGAGTAGAGTAGGTTGAGAAGCTGCCCTGCAGGTTGAGGTCTGCTGCCATGGGCAGTGGAGAATGCCATGCCCTAGCCCTTGTGTATGCAGGCAAAGCAGTCCATCATCTCCCTGCATTGCTGAATTCACATACACTCCAAACACTACACACTGCCTCCCTATACATGTCCACATGCGTATGATAAAGTTCAGGCTGAGAAGTATGGATAGGAACTTAACAGATAAAGTAGAACAATTACAATGGCAGGTACTAGTGAAAGTGAGGGGAATGTTCTCTGGTCTCTGGGATTCTCCATTTCATCTGAGCTCTATCACAGGTCCTGACCCTGGGATGGGCACTGCATACTTTTTTTTGTGCTGACCTAGCCTAGTTTGGAGGCTCCAGCTAAAAGCAAGGTGCTTCCCCATCTAGAACAGCCCATATGCCCTCACCAGAAGGCACAAGAGAAGCTTCTGTCATTTTAACTTAGCTAATCCACCCCATCTCTTCATTTCCAAGACTGCTGTGAAGGCAACCTCTGTGAAGTTAGAGCACAGTGAAACTCAGTGCTCCAGCAGAGAATCCATCCTGCTTAGCCCTAGAAAACACATCCATGGAGAATTTGGGTTCTCTATTTTTCTGGTACCTCAGTGATGAACTCATTTCTAATAGTTTTTCTCTATTTGACCTGATTCAGAACTGGATCATCATGTGACAAGTGCAACGCATGGAGCCCTTGTCAACAGCCACCAGCAGCAGCTGTTTAACTGTGCAACATGTAGGGAGTGACAGTGTATGACTGCATGCCACATGACACAGAGGGCACAGGGAAAGAGGGACCACAGGTACAAAATGGGGGCCCAGAGCCTGAAGTAGGGACATGAAAAGAGAAGAGCATGAGAGGCACAGAAGGTCAACAAGGGCACATGTTGTCGAGGGTGAAGTCAATGCCAGCCTTAAGGTTGCCAAGGGAAATGGCATGAAGAAAGCCAAGGGTTATATAGGAGCTAAGGCACCAGGAGCCAGGGCAGAGACTAGAAGGGGTGGGTAGTGGCCAGAGGCATGAATACAGTTTATGGAGGAACTGTGGGTGCCTGGAACTTGACAACTGTGGAGCTGAAAGATTTGGGGCTGAGGACACAGGGATTGACTGAAATGTTGGATCTGGGAGTAGATGCAGGGCCAGGGGAAGGAAGACACAGGTGACGCAGTATGCAGGAGCAGGTGGAGGTGAGAAGGGTCGGACTGTGGTCCTTGGAACAGGAAAAACAAGGGAGAGTAGGGCAAACAGGGCAGAGGTGGAGGCTAGGTTAGTAATGGGTGAGAGGAAGGTGCATTTCCCAGTTCTCTGCAGCTCAAGACCCAAGCAGTGGGAGTACTGCTTCTCAGCGAGGTGGGTAACTGAGGAAATCCACTGAGATTCTCTAGTGGAGAGTTAGGTAATCATGGAGAAACAGAAATCCAGAAACTGTGAGCACTGCACAAGAAATGATACCTTAGAGATGCCAGCTTAGCTGTGAATGCATGGCAGTGTTGGTGCCACCAGTTCACCATGAGCAAAGGGAGGAGGGAGGCAGAAGAGCATGTGGATAAATTTGGCACAGGAGAAGCTGGAGAGCAGGGAGGCTGGCACAACCTGGCCAGCACAGTGCTCCAGGGGTCTCTGCTGTTGAGCAGGGCTTAGAGGAGAGCCATTGGACAAGGTTGCATGGCAGCTGACAGGGAGGAGTCTGGGATTTCATAGGAGGTATGCTGTGCTGTCCCAGCTAACACCACTGCTGGATCCAGAGTGAGCCTGGCTAAAGTGGAACCAGCACAGACCAGTGCACCCAGGTGATCTGGGCTGGGCAAAGCAATGGAGGAGGGGCTTGTTTACCCTTTGCTTCTGGGAACTCATGCAACCAGCCAGGGAGAGACCAGAAACTTGTCAGGAGGCACATTTGCACATCAAATCTGGTCCTGGGAAGTCGAAATTCATAGCCGTGGACTATGGGACCTGTAGGGGATGAGCTGCCCCATCCATCCTGTGAGAGGAATTTGAGGAGCTGATGCTCAGAGGGTGGATCTGCCTAGCAATAGGAGACATGTGTCTGATCCTTCTGGTGTAAGTGCCACCCAACAAAGCCCCAAAGGATGGTCACAACTAAATTCCAAATGCTGAGTCTTCCCGGGTAGATCTCTGCATTAGCTCTAGCTTTGGGAGTGCACTGACCCAGTCCATCCAGACAAAACTTCATCTGGGGGTGCTCACCAGTGGTCCCCACACTTTACTGGGACAAGATGGCACAGGGAAGGGCAGAGCTATCACAAACAGCTCTATTTCCCAGCCACACATCCAGCGGTTCAGCGAGGGACAAAGAGATCACTTTAACAACCTCCATCCTTGGTCAGAGGGAGACAAAGCCCAGGGAAAACTGGAAAGGACACAAGAGTGTCCTCAGGGAGCTGCATCCCTGTGAACCATCTCGACCTCTGAGTGGAGAAAAGCTCCTCACTCTTCAGTCATTATTTCTTCCCATTCTTTTTCCTCCCCTGACCCTCCCCACTCTGTGTGTGCTCTTGTTGCACTGATTGGATCAGGGACACACATTCCGTATGTAAATAGGTTATATGAACATACTGTATTCATGTAAATTCTATGAGTCCATGTGAACACACATCCATGTATTTTTCTTTCACTGTTGTAATTTTTCCACTCATTTCTTAGGTAGCCTTGTTTGACTTTAGAGGGTGGAGTCTTCCATGATATTTTTAAGCTGATGTTGTGGTTACTAGAACCTAGATGACGTAGCTGGTGCTGCTGTGGAACACTAGTGTTACCGTCTAGGGGTGCTGGGTTCATTGTCTCCATTCAGCAAGGAATTGAAACACAGGACACAGAGATAGCAAGCAAGAAGCAGGTTTGTTGCAAAAGTGACAGGGAAACTGTGAAGAGAAGGGGCCCCAGAGCCGGGAGTCCATTAGGGAGTTTTGGCCTCTTATTTTTATGGTCTCTGGAAATTCCCCACACACACACACATTAAGACCCCTGGCTCTAATCCTTGAGCTTGCCCCATGAAAGTCCTGAACCCAAGCCTGTTTTGCCTCTGTCCATCTATGGAGAGGTGTGCCTTTATTTGTCAGCTCTGACAGACTTCCATGTGTATCTTTCTTTTATTGGTTGTTCAAAATATTACAAAGCTCTTGACATATCATATTTTATACATTTGATTCAAGTGGGTTATGAACTCCCGTATGCAGATTGCAGAATCACATCGATTACACATCCACGTTTTTACATGTTGCCATACTAGTAACTGTTGTATTCTGCTCCTTTCCTATCCTCTACTATCCCCCCTCCCCTCACCTCCCATATTCTCTATCTACCCCATCAACTGTAATTCATTTCTCTCCCTTGATTTTTTCCCTTTCCCCTCACATCCTCTTATATGTAATTTTGTATAACAATGAGGGTCTCCTTCCATTTCCATGCAATTTCCCTTCTCTCTCCCTTTCCCTCCCACCTCATGTACCTGTTTAATGTTAATATTTTTCTCATGCTCTTCCCCCCTGATCTATTTTTAGTTGGTCTCGTTATATCAAGGAAGACATTTGGCATTTGTTTTTTAGGGATTGGCTAGCTTCACTTAGCATAGTCTGCTCTAATGCCATCCATTTCCCTGCAAATTC